TTTTTAGCATTTTCAAACTTAAATTTATACTATTGAAATAAATGTTTAGGTTTAATTGATTTCAGCTTCTAAAGACTAGTAACTATTTTTTTGACTGGGTAGCAAAATTAACAAAAATATAGTACATTGAACAATTTAAAATTATAAACAGTTAGAATATTGTATTAGTCATGCAAATTATAGTTAATAATATCAAAACCTTCACAGACAATTATCATTAAATTGTGAAGAAAAAAATTAGAAACGAAAAATTAAATCCCCCCCCCCCCCCCCCCCCCCCAAAAAAAAAAGCAAAAGAAATGCAAACTTACCTCTAGCTGCTCAAAGAAACGTATACTTACGGCTAGTTGCTAAAGGAAATGCATACTTACCGCTAGCTGCTAAAGGAAATGTGTACTTACCGCTAGCTGCTGAAGAAAACGTATACTTTCCTCTAGCGTCTCAAGGATATGCATACTTACCTCTAGCTGCTCAAGGAAATGCATACTTACCGCTAGCTGCTAAAGGAAATGCATACTTACCGCTAGCTGCTCAAGGAAATACATACTTACCGCTAGCTGCTAAAGGAAATGCATACTTACCGCTAGCTGCTAAAGGAAATGTGTACTTATCGCTAGCTGCTGAAGAAAACGTATACTTTCCTCTAGCGTCTCAAGGATATGCATACTTACCTCTAGCTGCTTAACGAAATGCATACTTACCGCTAGCTGCTCAAAGAAATGCATACTTACCTCTAGCTGCTCAAGGAAATGCATACTTACCTCTAGCTGCTCAAGGAAATGCATACTTACCTCTAGCTGCTCAAATAAACGCATACTTACCTCTAGCTGCTCAAATAAACGCATACTTACCTCTAGCTGCTCAAATAAACGCATACTTACCTCTAGCTGCTCAAATAAACGCATACTTACCTCTAGCTGCTCAAATAAACGCATACTTACCTCTAGCTGCTCAAATAAACGCATACTTACCTCTAGCTGCTCAAAGAAATGTGTACTTATCGCTAGCTGCTCAAGGAAATGCAAACATACAGACTGTCAATGAGGACCCTGTGAATATCACCCTGGTACAGGTTGGCCAGTATTGATGCCGCTGTACGTCTGATGTCAGGGTCAAATTGTATGGAATTAGCCAAGCACCAACCTTGAGGTTCCGGAGCAACCAACATCATCTGGACGTCGTAGAGACATTCGTAGATTTTGATTTTGGCCTTTTCTGGAACATCATGCACCAGAGAACCACGCCCAGGGAGTACACGCCCACCTTGTAAGGATCCACACAAGTCCGACAATTTAGCTCAGGAGCATAATAACTCCTGGATAACCCGAATGTCTTTCACAAGAATGGTTGCGTCACCTGGAGGAATGGAATTTGATTATGCGATATCTTCCAGAACTGGGTCGTTCTCGTTGATGAAAATATTGGCAGGCTTGATATCGTAGTGTACTATTCTCTGTTTATCATTGAGATAACGCACAGTACACGTCAGCTGGAGAAAGTACTTGACACACAAATCTGGGATCATGATCTTCAGCTTGGAGCTCATAGTTCCGTTAGGGCAGTAGTGAGTACAGATGGCCAAGTTTTCCGGACATCAGACAGATGTACTATGTGTGATGACGTGTGTAGTGAGACAGTTCTCGTAAAATGCCGACCTCTCTATCAAACAACCTCTTGTTTCTTGCTCCTCCATCAGCAGTCAGCAATGACATTATCTTCACTACTCTCTTGTTTAAAGGATTGAGAAGTGGGGTGGCTAGCACAACGTCTCCACTCATTCCACTGCCCAGAACTGGACCACGAGAGAAACTATGTGATGGAGAAATCCTCAGGTAGACTGACTAGCCAATGCTTCATTTTTGAACACTAGAACAGGAGACTCAAAGTTAGAATATTCAAATGAGAAAACACAGAAGCAAGAATAAGCGCACGATCTTTCCACTAGCACTCTAGAAAATGTAATGGTGAAATGGGACTCCGATTCCGATTCTGTTTGAGAAAAAAAAAAAAAAACTTCGACTACTTTCAGACTGCTGCTAGCTAGCCGAGGCTGCTAACAGACTCCACCTTTATTTGTGGTCTCTGTTATTTGCGTCACTTTCGTGACAAAAATTCTAGTATTTGTGCCGTCTCTGGGCTTAATGCTTCCTTTCGAGTCAGACCGCTCGTCCTCTACCCTGTTGTTAGCTGTGCGTGTCTTTCCTTTTCTTTCTTGGTTTTTCATCTTGGTTTAATCTCCTCCACTTTTGCCCAGGCGTATCTCGTGGGGGAGTCAGCTTTTCTATACAGCGTCCTTTGAACCACCATTTATAGTTTTACAATTTTGACTATTTTATTTTGCAAAAAAGTACTAAAAACAGTTTTTGATGTTGGATAGTTCCGAAATGTGAAAATATTTCGCGTGTGTCCATAATGGTCTTATAGTTGTCTTTCTGCAAGAGGAACGAGTTCGTCATGACGTGGATATGTGTGTGAAATGTTAGGTGGAGCCTCAAAGCAGTTCTATTCGTCCTTTGCTATTGTGTTATCCAATTGTGTCGGTTTGATGTACGTAAATACCATATAATTGGAGCACCCAGCTAACGCTTTGAGATCCAAATGTTCGGCGATGGGAATTGCTGTGGCATGTTGAGTACGGAACTGAAGTGCTCTATCTGGGAATAAGGTGGGTGATTGAACTCGTAGTGCATCCGGAAGGGGTAGGGAAAGGTGAGGGGAAAGAGGGCGGGAGGCCAGTCATTCTTCATCGTTGCCGTCTTACTGGATTCTAGCGTGACCTTTAGCCGGGATTATACGTATCACGTCACCAACCTTTGCTTTCAGCCCACTAATATGGTGGAATCGGTGGTTAAGTGTTCTAGTCCTGTCCGTATCGATCTGCTTGTTTTCCCTATTTGCTGTCAGTCATATCCAGTTGCGAGCTCCACCAGTCATGCTTATGTTGTATGCCTGATGGGGAATGTGATGGTTTTGAGTATGAATCTAAATGTACGCACACAACTAGGTGTACGCGTACATGTACTCGAGTATTCATACACCCAGACAACACCATTTGGTTTGCACTTCTGTTCATACTTCTCCGTGTATGCATACCTATTTGACATCCACCCGTAAGTACACTCATACTTCCATGTCTTGCGTGTTATTTATTGTGTCGCTATGTCTGTTTTATTGTCTGGTTCTGCTACTTTTTAAATTATGTTCCGTTCCTGGTATGTGACCTGTCCGTTACGTTCTTATCATGTTCTGGTGGATGATGTGGATGGTGTATTCTGATTAGGTTCTTGCTAGCGTACACACTTCATTCCATTTATTCTTATTAACTAACGAGTTCGTGCGATTTGTGCGATGTATGCACTCGTTCACCGTATAGTCCCATGCAACCACATAATTTATAGGCTCCCAGAGTGCACGGTCATTCACACACGCACGCGCACACACACACACACACATATAGAAATATACACGCTCACACATATATATACATACATATACACACATATACATAAAAATTTATATATCCATGTAATCGATCATCTTTACCTTTCGCACATCTTTATTCCTACTTTCCTTGTCCATGTGTGACCCCTTACCATTCGCCTACATACATCTTTTCTTATGTATTAATTCTATACATAAATGTACCCATACTACACGCATTCTTCCTTGTGCATCCACACGTGCTCACATCTATGCACCCATCATACTTACACTACCTTCCTTACACTAGGGATTTCAGAGTCACCACCTGACCTGTTCCTTCTATTGCCCTGAGCTGATCTTCAACCTGGTCTTCCAAGTTTTAATTTGTTTTGATTAGATACTGTTTAACAAGTTTTTGGATATCTTTATTGCTATCCACCTGTAAACATTTGTTTGCAGTAATATGTTGTTTGTGTTTTATGAAAGGGACGCTGGGTTCTGGCTGGTATAGTAGTGGGCAGCCCATAGCGTGGTTTTGTCATCGTCCTCGTGAAGGCTTTGATTGATAGCATTCCATGGACAACAGTTGACTGGGGGATCTATCAATAGTTATTTCATTCCTTATTTCTTGTAATTGTAGCCGCTCCCACCAAACTGTGCATGAAAGTCTCAGTCGCTGCTCTGAAGTAACCGCCAAAGAACCGGACCGATAATCTGACTAGGTGGCAGCTGCCTTCGATGCCTGCGACAAAGTCCAGTAGCGTAACTTTCAAGTCCTCACATAATGGTCACCGCGAATGACCTACATTTGATGCACTGACCGGAGCCTAACTTTGAAGTCAAGACTGTGGATGGAGGTAAATGAATGTTTGGAGTTTATCGCAACACAGCCGGTCACCAACAAAGTAATCCATTGTTAGACGGTTGGCCTTTGTGGTGGCATTGTTGATAATCGAGAACATTCTTAAAACTGTCAACAGCTTTGTACAAAACAGATTATCCAATTCCTATTTGAGTTTTAACTTAATTACCCAATTAGTTCTGTAGTTGTGCATTTTTAAATCAAAACCTGTGCACTTCTGTAGTTGATAATTCAGAAATTCTTAGCAAAGCTAATTCAATGAAAGTATTGTGTCGTTCATGTCGAAACCAACGCAAGGCGGTCTGCTACTAATTCGTCCGCAGCTGGGTTCGAACACGACATCCCAGCATTACAAAACCCGTTCACAACAATCAAGCAACCGACGCCGACATCCCTGTGCTAGTAGTCTGAAAATTCCATCAACTTTACGAATAATGGCGCCTCCGGCATGTTTTGTGAATCTCATGCCCATTTGTAGATCAATCGGTATCCTGATTGGTCGATATTACGCTGGTAGACTTCAATTCTGAGAACGTGTTCTGGTCTCCAGTTGATCTTGGGTCGATTTCGCAACACCAGTTTATTTTTAAAATGTGTCTCCACTGTGATTCAATCGCCTGGCCGCCGGGATGGCAATCATGCGTGCTGGTAATCACACAACTGTAATATATCATTTATTTCTGTGGATTATGACATCAAAGCGCTGGCTTCGGCAATGTTCAAAGGCGCCAAAAGCTGGCGAGCCAGGTCTATGGAGCCAAAACAGGGGCGTCATAAGGCCACTTCGTACACAACGCCGAAAACTTCCGATCATATGTGTAAATAAAATATATTTGTGATTTTATATTTACGCATATGAAACATTTTTTTTGCTACATTTTATCTGTATACTTTAAAAAATAATAATATGTTTGATATATTGTCATCACATTTTCTTCAGTGATGACACACAGTGTGGCCCGCACTCAAACCCCTGCCTTCCTACGTCACTAAGCCCATAAAGTTTCTAGTAGCACCCACATCCTTCCTAATCACGAATAGAAGATGTCTTTATAAGTATTTGTTTATAACGTTCACATTATTTTATGCTTGTCATTCAACTTATTTACGATTGATCACATTAGATATATATATGAGTTCAATCTGTCCCTCTCCCACCTAACGTTTTCCTATTGTCGTCGCCCCTGATGTTGAACAAGTATCAGACATCGCCAGTATCGCCTTATAAAAAAGACAATTGACAAGTGGTTGAAATCCATATTTAATTTTAACCCTCTATAAACAAACTGAGCCAATGTTTTGCTGCTAGCAAATCTAACATGCATATAAAAAGTAGGATCCATGTTTGTGGCTGTTAGACTTAACTACTGCTTGCTGAGGAAACGAAAATCGCGTCGAGTTGTCGAGCGCTAAAGCAAAAGAATACCTTGCAACGAGTTTTTTACGTGTTTTAAAACGACTAGATAAATCTTGCCTCGCGATGCATTGATTGTCAGACATGGTTTCTAATTTGTTTGTTTCGGTGTTCCTGACATGCTTTGTGGCAAACGGTATGTTCAAATGTGTGTTATAAGCGGTGTGTTTATCGTCTAACTCAGAGATCTCCAACTTTTGGTTTCCAGGTGGCCCCCATTTTGAGTATAGGGTACACAACCTGTCTCCCCGTCCCCCCCCCCCCACCCCTGCCCCGACTACCCCAATAAATAAAAAATATGGTAAAAAGAGGAAGAACTGTTTTATAAATGTATAATTAAATTCACGTCTATATCAAGAGAAATACTCTAGTTGTCCAGGTTGTAAACTGAAGCATAGAACAGACACCCATACCTTCGTAAAACTTCATCTAGTCACGAAACATATCTAAGCCACGATGTCAGATGGATTTAAACTGACAACGACCTAAGACGGCTTACAGTCCAGTTTAGTTTGGGTGGACACGGATGCCAAGGTCAGTTAAAAATCGCTCCTTCGGAGAGGGAGAGATGACGGGTGCGGGGTATTTTTCTCCGCTTTTCGTGAGTATAGTGTACTTTTTACTGTGGGTTCCATCATTGGTAACGTGATTAAGTTTTTTATTTTATTTCTATGTCGGGTGCAACATTAAACTAAATAGTCCGTGGCGACAGTATGCGGTGCTATCTCCTCTTTTCTACACCAACCTACACAGACTGTAGTGACATATTTGTTGTTGTTGTTGCTGCTGTTGTTGTTGTGATAGTGGTGGTGGTAGTGTTTGCAGAAGTACTGATACTGGATGGGTGATGTGGTAGCTGTTACAAGTTAATGCTACCTACCTATTCAAGTCTGGGTGGACACGGATGCCAAGCTCAATTTAGTTACAATATTTCGTCACAGGGTGACTTTCCCATCCTTCTGAGAAAATGATATGATTGGGGGGAGGGGGTGGGAGGGCGGAGGGTTATGTCAGACACAGTTAGCTGAGAGAGCTTAAAATATTATTTTTACGTTCTTATTTCTTAGCTATTTCTATTTTAATAATTTCGCCAGGTGATGATTTTTAAATTCTCTGAGAGGGACACATGATTGGGGGGGGGGGGGGGGGGTATGCCAGACACAGTTAGCTGAGAGAGCTTAAAATATTAATTTAAAGTTCTCATTTCTTAACTATTTCTATTTTAATAATATCGCCAGGTGATGATTTTTCAATCCTACGGAGAGGGAGATATAATTGGTGGAGGGGGAGGGGCGTTTTGCAAAACACAGTTAGTGGAGAGAGCTAAAAATATTATTTTTAAGTTCTTATTTCTTAACTATTTGTATTCTAATAATTTCGCCATGGGTGATTTTTCAGTCCTTCGGAGAGGGAGATATGACTTCGCAAGGTGATGATTTATCAATCTTGCGGAGAGGGAGATATGATTTGGAAGGGGGGGGGGGGAGGAGGGTTTATGCCAGACACAGTTAGCTGAGAGAGTCTAAAATATTATTTTAATGTTCTCTTTTCTTAATTATCTTTATTTAAATAATTTGGCCAGGTGATGATTTTTCAATCCTACGGAGAGGGAGATATAATTGGTGGAGGGTCAGGGGGGGGGGGGGGGGTTATGCCAAACACAGTTAGCTGACAGAGCTAAAAATATTTTTTTAAGTTCTCTTTTCTTAACTATTTCTATTCTAATAATTTCGCCATGGATAATTTTTCAGTCCTTTAGAGAGGGAGATATGACTTCGCAGGTGACGATTTTTCAATCTTTCGGAGAGGGAGATAGGATTGGGGGGGGGGGGGGGTTGCCAGACACAGTTAGCTGAGAGAGCTTAAGATATTATTTTAAAGTTCTCATTTCTTAACTATTTCTTTTTTAATAATATCGCCAAGTGATTATTTTCCAATCCTAGAGAGAGAGAGAGAGAGAGAGAGAGAGAGAGAGAGAGAGAGAGAGAGAGAGAGAGAGAGAGAGAGAGAGATGATTGGTGGAGGGGGAGGGGGGTTATGCCAAACACAGTTAGTTGACAGAGCTAAAAATATTATTTTAAGTTCTCATTTCTTAACTATTTATATTTTAATAATTTAGCCATTGATGATTTTTTGATCCTTTGAAGAGGGAGATATAACTGCGACGAGGGGAGGAATTGGGGTCGGGGGTGTGACAGATACTGTTAGCTGAGAGAGCTTAGGATATTATTTTAGAGTTCTCATTTCCTAACTATTTCTATTTTAATCATTTCGCCATAGATGATTTTTAAATTTTTCGGAGATGGAGATATGACTTCGCCAGGTGATGATTTTTCAATCCTTCGGAGCGGGAGATATGATTGTTGGAAGTGGGGGTTACGCCAGGGATATGACAGACACTGTTTGCTGAGAGCTTTTTTCTTTTATCTCCATTTCACCATTCTGGGCCACAGCAACGCGTGGCCGGGTACAGCGAGTAGAGATATATATTATGTCACTGATATCATCCATGTGATATATTTGCCCTCTCAATAAGTGATCAGTGGAATAAGTCGAGTATGTTTACTGTTATCTTTGGAAAGTTGCCTATCCTTTACAGAATGCTGTAGAATCTACCCTGCATTTTTTTACCATTGTGGTTTTTCTAGTCAAATTATAGTTCAATTAGTTTGCCTTTCCCCTCAAGGGTTGGCTCACAAAACTAATTCAAGGCGGTCTGCTGGCTTATCGCCTGCAGCTGGGATCGAAACCGAAATAGTTGTCTTTGGCAAGGAATCTGGTATAAACTGATGATACCTAGATATCCGTATGCACAGCTGTATGAATATGTCTACGGTTTATATTTATTTTATATTGAACTGAGTTTTGCCATGCCTTTTTACACATTACCCATCTGTATAGCTGCCTATAAAACATTATAACTAAAACATTCATGAGTAAACCATGTATGTGTTCATCATATACATGATATTTTTGTTCTTTTCCTTACAGTGATGTGTGCCAGCAAAAAAGGGCATTTTCCATTGAAAGGTTGCTACGAAGATGATACGGACTTATTGTGGCTGATGGACAATGACAACGAAAAGTCAAGGCTGCAGCACTTTCTTTTGATAATTCAACTTAAACATGACTTAATACTGCAAGCTCCAAGTGGAAACAACTCAAAGTGGATGGTAGCCATCGTGGTTGACCAATTAAGTGCTCACAACGAGACCACGAATGTCAGCCACTGGAGTTTTTATAGAAGTGACGAAAATTGGAAGCGCTACACAATCCCAAAAACAAACATTTTGGAAGTACCCATCAGAGATGTCAGATCACGTCTAGAGTACAAAATACAAATTATTCAACGGTTATTTGTTGAAATGAGGGGAGTTAGAAATAATTCAGTTCATGTTGGGGTCGTCTTTTTTAATGGTAAAAGTCTGACACAAAAAGAAATTATAAGTGTGCCCTCCATTGTACAACAACTCAGTTCAAAGGTAAAGATCTTTACAGTGATATATGGTAGTAAACTTGTAGAGGAAGTTGTGCACCTGACTGACACTCTTGTCTTACCAGACATGGACATCAGTTATTTCATAAAGTATTTACTGATGGCGATGTGTGAGACGTGTGGACCAGGATGGGTCCTGTTTAAACACACAACGGGGCTCAGTATGCTCTCCTGCTTTAGAATATTTCCAATCTTTAGAGAAACTAAGTGGCTTGATGCATTGCATTACTGCAAAAGTCCATTAAATGGAAATTTGGCAGGAATTGAAACTGAAGAGGAAATGTTATTTTTAAAGGAGCAGTTATTAAAAATATTCACAGATTTGAACCTATCTAACATCAGTTTTCATATTGGCCTCACAAGAGATTTAGGTAATTATGCGAAACGATTTCAGTGGATGACCAGTACTGGAAAGTTTCGTCCTCTTTTAATTCCTCATTGGCTGCCTGGTCAACCTTGTAGAGACTGTAAGGATGATGACTGTGTGGTGTGGCAGTTTACAAATACCACAAGTGACAAAGATAACAGAAGTGTTAGTGAAGGATGGATAAATATTAACTGTTATTCTGAAATAAACTCTGAACCACTATGTGAAATTGCCCTTCCTCGAAATATTAATGATGTTGACTTTATCTTTAGTACACCAGTTCCAAAAGAGCACATTAATTTCACAATACCAAAGGAACATTTTCTCATTTACGAAAGGAATATAATTTCCATGACTGCAAACGTTCCAAACTCCAATTTTCTTCAATTTCTGAGAAAATCAAACATAGACTTTCCCGTTTTTGACTGTGGGGAAGACTCCGGGGATCGTAGATACATTTCTTATAACTTGGTCTGTGATTTCGTTGATCACTGCAGCAACAGACTGGATGAGCTTCTTTGTTTGAAATTTATATCACCTAATGACTTAAACTGCATATCTGGCCAAAGGCTGTACCATAAAGAATATCAATGTGACAAGATCAAGGACTGCAGAGACGACAGCGACGAGAAATTCTGCATTCATAGAAATTGTGAAGGTGGACAATGTCAAAATGGATCATGTCTACCTCTGCAGTGGGACAATAATGTACAAGATGACTGTTTCATTTATACGATTAGTTTCCAGGAATATATAAATAGTTATTTGAGCTTACACAAAAGTAAGCCTCCTATAAATAAAAAGAGATGTGCATTAGTATGCGATCCTGACATATGTGTAAACAAATCTCAGCGCAACGACTCGGTCAAAGACTGTAGGGGTACTGAAGGTCTTATAGCTAAGACTCTAGGAAAGCTAGAGTCTGCTGACTCCTGCAAGAATAGCTTCGGACATTATATATGGGCCCCAAAATGTCATTATATCAAAGATAGATACGGCGGTATCGTCGGGTGCACCGATATGTCACATCTTAGAGACTGTGAGAACTTCCAGTGTGGTCAGGGGTATGGGAAATGTTATAACTCGTACTGTATTCCTCATTATTATCTTCGAGATGGAAGAGCTGACTGTCCTACAGGAGAAGACGAGCAACTATTCTACACTGGTCCATGTACTGGGCATTTTGCTTGCTGGGACAGCAACATTTGTCTTCATCCTGACCTAGTTTGTGATGGGTATACCGATTGTCCGTATGATGACGATGAACTTGGCTGCCGCGACGATTGTCTTAAAGGTTTCCGGTGTATCGCAGGAACAGTGTCGGTTACTGATTACAACAGATCAATTCCTTTAGACATGACACATGTGTATGCTATGGATAGACAGATGAGATACCTGGACTTAACTGGAGTAGAGTTTCAGGAAATGAACTCGTTTTTGCACACTGCAGCAGGAGCATTTCTGAATTTAAAAGTCCTTATCTTGTCTAAATGCAACATAAGTGAGTTATTTTTGCCTTTATTTAGTAACAATCCACCGTTTGTGATTCAGAAACTGGACATTAGCTACAATAAATTCGAAGCCTTTGCAACCGATGAATACAACTATTTTTACAAACACATAAATTATCTTAACATTTCTCACAATCGGCCTTTAAAGTTGCTCAGAAATTTACGGTTCAATTTTCTAGAAATAATTGACCTTTCCTTTACAAGTCTGTCTTATCTAAACGATTCAGTGTTTGCACAACTCCCCAGACTGAAACATCTAAATTTAAGTCATTCGTTGATTTCAAAATTTACGAGCCAATTTTTTAGATCAAAACTGACACTACAGACATTAGATTTACGAGGTATTCTTACACAAGATCTCGACGACTATTTCTTTCATGATCTCACAATTAGCCAGGCGTTGTATTCTGATCTTTTCCAGATTTGCTGTCCACAGATTCGTGGGTTAGTAATTACACAACGGACATGTGTGGCTCCTGTACACGTAGACGCCATTTCCTCGTGTGCTAACCTGTTAGGAATTGATATTCAGCGATTTCTTCTCTGGATAGTTGCAATTCTCTCAGTTCTGGGAAACGTGACGATCATTGTGTATCGGGTAATCTGGGATAGGTCAGTTCTTCAGACAGGATACGGTCTGTTTGTGACAAACTTGGGTATATCTGACTTCATTATGGGTGTCTATCTGTTGATGATTGCCGGGGCTGATTCTTTCTACCGTGACAGTTACGTTCTCTATGACAAGACCTGGAGGAACAGTGTTGTATGCAAGATAGCTAGTTTTATGGCTTGTCTTTCGTGTGAAGCATCGACGTTCTTTGTTTTCCTGATCACCCTCGACAGATTTCTGGTGATGAAGTTTCCATTCGGTCAAATAAAGTTTACGTGGTTTCACAAAACTATCGCAGTTGTGATGTCTTGGTTGGTAAGCTTCCTACTTTCACTTATCCCCATAGTGTTGAAATTTGACATCTATTCTTCGAACGCAATGTGTCTTGCCCTGCCCTTAAAAAACACCTACGCTAGAGGTTGGGAGTATTCAGTTGCAGTTTTTATTATTTGTAACCTGATCATGTTTGTCTTCGTTGCGTGTGGTCAATATGCGATCTTCCGTGCCATGTCAAAAAACAGAATATCTAAGACAGCAACTAACATACCTTCTTCACGACGAGCTGAAGATATAACAGTAGCTAAACAACTGTCTCTTGTAGTTCTGTCTAATTTTCTCTTCTGGTTTCCTGTGGGAATCATGGGACTGATGTCTCTTGGAGGTCATGAGGTCAGCAGTCAGGTTTATGCCTGGACAACAGTTCTGCTTCTGCCCATCAACTCCGCCGCTAATCCTGTTCTGTACACTATTCCTGCCCTACTGGAGAGGTGGCAGCAGTTCAAACGTGGAGGTTAAGGGATACTTTCTACTTGCAAGTAATATATTTTTTAAATTTTTTGTTGTTTTCCTGCTTCGGCTCTTGCTTACTACTAGATCCTTGATATTCTGATATAAATTATTGCCTCCGCTCAATCCCCGGAGACCCACCTTTTTGAGGAATATATTGACTTTGAGTGACATATTGTTTCAATGTGATGCAGTGACAGATAAATGAAGTGATGGTCATTTCAGAAGTATCAGTGTCAATCCAGATTGCAAATGTTTGATTTTGATGAACTTTGATCCCGACTAGACGTCCGACAACTCAAGACAATATGTAAGGTTAAGGTCATTGCACTACGATTGGGATCTGATTTATAGACGTGTCACTTCTTGTTTTAATATAGTAGACTGTAGATATTCTTTCAATTTAAAAAAAAAAAAAACACAGAAAAGAAGATTATCATCATGATTGAAAAAGAAAGAAAAAAGAAAGAAAGTAAGAAAGAAAGAGAAAAAGAAAGAAAGAAAGAAAGAAAGAAAGAAAGAAAGAAAGAAAGAAAGAAAGAAAGAAGACAGAGAAAGCGTGTAGGATAATCATTACAGTTTATCTTAAATGTGAATTAGACAATGTAAAATTATAAATGTACTTCGTCGGTCACACTGTATGGATTATTTTTCAAATACTCTTTTAAATATTGTTTAATGTGATTATTGAAATATAATGTATACAGTTTTCGTATTAATTCAATGTAATTCTAAACAACTGAATTTTTAAATATAATTTTTTTTTTAAAATATGGGCTTATGAAGGTTTTCTATTTTGTATATTTGTAGATGTTTAAGTAAAAATTTATTTATTTGATTCATTATTAAATTACAACTTCTTCTTCAATGATCTAAAGATGGCTATACGATGTATTTGTATTTCTATGTAATCTTTATCTTATTGTTTCAGTCTGTAATACGTCAAATCCAGGCACATACTTGCAGATGTTGACTGTTTTGTTCATGTACTCTATCTTTGTTAAGTTTAAGAGTACTAGCAGGGAATCAGTGGCGCTAAAAAAAAAAAAAATCATTTAAAAATTCAATTACGGTGATAGGACTCTCCAATTTTTAGACATGATGACCATACGATTAAGCGATCATATAAAACAAACTTCTAAATATTCAATACATACATGTAAGATAATAAGTTTTTAAATTAAATTTTTTTTTTTTATGTGCTAAATATAGATGTTACTTTGGAAGTATTTCTAGGAAAATGGTCTACCTAAATTCCTTCAAAATTAAACTGCACATACAAAAATTGTGTGAGTGTAGCCCTTTCTATGGAAAACAGTACACACTTGATAAGTTTTATGGAAAGCTACCAGAAATTTGCTTCTTTTTGTGTGTGAAAAAAATACAGTTTTGAAATTACATTAAAATTAACGCAATCGTCATAATGGCATTCCCCTGGGATAAACTACAGCCAGTTATTATTTGATCAAGCATGCAAAATTTCAAGCATATTGGTTGATATTTGAGAAGTTATAACAGGATTTATTAAAAAAAAAGTTACATTTTTCAACAAACGACGTTAATTTTTTGTGTGAAAATATTCTATATTTTTTCCTCAGTGACTTCCTGTCAAATAAGGAAAGCCTTCGGATTGAGGTAGTACCTCCTCTAATCCAAGTCGCTTCATCCTTCTTGCATTTCCAATGATGATTCTGTTGCTTTCTTCTGAGAGGTTTTCAGCCGTAACGTGTCAGTAGAGATGAAAAATTCTGACCTGAAACGTCCACATAATAGTTGCATTGCCACAATATGCGCTTCTAGGGCTTTTGCTCCATCATTGAAAATTAGTACTGCAATGCCAACTGCAATCATAACAGCTACTAATCCATGGTACTTGTGTTTAGGGCAATGTTGTTTTGTTGTGGATGGGGTATTTTGTTCTTTGTATCATTGATGTTGGCTTGGTTGTTTTGTTGTGGATGGTGTATTTTGTTCTTTGTATCTTTGGTGCGGCTTGGTTGTTTTGTTGTGGAAGGTGTATTTTGTTCCTTGTATCATTGGTGTTGGCTTGGTTGTTTTGTTGTGGATGGGTTATTTTGTTCCTTGTATCATTGCTGTTGACTCTGTTGTTTTGTTGTGAATGGGATATTTTGTTCTTTGTATCATTGGTGGTGGCTCGGTTGTTTTGTTGTGGATGGGGTAATTTGTTCTGTGTGTTACTGGCGGTGGCCATGTTGTTTTGTTGTGGATTTGGTGGTGGCTCGGTTGTTTTGCTGTGGATGGGGTATTTTGTTCTTTGTATCATTGGTGTTGGCCCAGTTGTTTTATTGTGGATAGGGTAATTTGTTCTTTGTGCCATTGGTGTTGGCTCGGTTGTTTTGTTGTGAATGGGGTATTTTGTTCTTTGTATTATTGATGCTGGCTCGGTTGTTTGGTGGTGTCTCGGGGTCTTTGGTAGGAAGTATTTTCTTCTTTGGTGATATATGTGGGAGCTCTGGCTGTTTTTTTTTCTTTAGACAGTTTTTCTTGCTCTTTGGTGCGGGGCATTTCTTATTTCGGCCAACTGATATCCTTCTATCTTTCTAATTCTTTCTGTGAGCCGATCGATACATTGTCTGTTTGTTTGTTGTGTTATATACAACATTTATACGGCTTAATAAGTTTCCTCCTCTGTTTGTTTGAGTGTATTATGTCAAACACAGTGAAACATGCAAACCAGATCTCTTTCTTAAATGTTCGTTGTATTCTAAACAAAGCATTAGGACTGACTGACTTTCTACCCCACCAGAACATCACACAAGCCATAAACACCCGATGACACAAAGTGCCACCACGTGGATGAGGATCGCCTTGGAGAGGTCCCAGAAACCGTGTTTAGACAATTGGCCATATTTATGGCCTGCCTATATTGCGGCCCCTGGCAAGAGCCAGGGTGGGGCTTCAAATAACTAAAAATTTCAACCAAAAAAGGACGAAACACCTATTTCTAGGTGGGCTGTTACGGATGAACAAAGCATAAGTCCAAGTCCTTTTAAGAAAAAAAAGAAAAGCTCGACCACGTTCAGACTGCTGCTAGCTAGCCTAGGCTGCTAACAGTCTCCGCCTATATTTGTGGTCTGGGTTATTTGCGTCACTTTCGTGACTGAATACTGGTGTTTGTGCCATTTCTGGCTTAATGCTTCCCTCCGTATCAAACCGCTCGTCCTGTTGTCACTGGTGCAAGTCTTCCTTCTTCATTCGTGGTGTTTCCTGTTTGTTCTGTCTCCCTTTGATCTGGCTAGGCGTATCTCGAAGGAGAGCGAGCTTCCAAACACAACGACCTTTCGGCCACCATTTATTGTTTTAAAATTTTGAGTATTTTAATTTTCCAAAAAGTACTGAAAACAGTTTTTGAATGTGAATAGTTCCGAAATGTGAAAATTTTCCGCGTATGACCATAGTGGTCTTATAGTTGTCTTCCTGTAATATGAACGGGTTAGTCATGTATTGGATATGTGTGTGGGAGTTTGTGTGGAGTCTTAAGCGAGTCCAGTCGTCATTTGTTATTATGTGATCGGGTTGTGTTGATAGCTAAGCTCCGGTGTACGTAAATACCATATAACCGGACAGTCCAGCTCACGCTTTGAGATCCAAATGATCGGCGATGAGAATTGTTGTGGCATGTTGGGCAACGAACTCAAGTGCTCTCTGTGGGAATGGGTTGGGGGGTTAAACTCATAGTGCATCCGAAAGATTTAGGGAAAGGTGGGGGGGGAAGGGGAGCGGGAGGCCATTCAGTCAATTCTCGTCGTTGCCGTCTTGCTGGATTCTAGCGTGGCTTTTTGCCGGGACTATGTGTATCACGTTACCAACCTTTGCTATCATCCCAGTGATGGGGTGGTATTGGAGGCTATGCGTTCTAGTCCTGTCATTATCGAGTCACTTGTATTCCCTATTTGCTGTCAGTCATATTTTTGTTATGAGTCCTGTCGGTCATGTGCATGTTGTATGCATGTTGTGGAGTGGGATGGTTTTGTTTATGAATCCCCGGAGTATATAGACGCACCCAACTAGGTGTATGCGTACATGCACTCGAGTACTCATACATGCAGACAACACTACATATTTGTACGTCCTTTCATACTTATCCGTATATGCATACCTAATTGACATTACGTACACACGCAAACTCTTTCATATGCGTTTACCAATGCCTGTGCTAACATTCATTAAAAAAAAAAACGAGTACATCCACACGTAGTGATATTCACTCTTCCATGTCTTATGCGTGTTGTGTCGCTTTGTCTGTAATTTCGTCTGGTCGTGTCACTTTTATGCTATGTCCCGTTACTGGTATGTGACCTGTCCGGTACTGACGTATCATGTTTTGGTGGATGGTGTGCGATGACGTTCTTGCTGCTTGCACCCTTCATTCCATTCGTTCTCATTAATGAACAGACATACAGCAACACAGTTTATGGTTTCTTTGATTGCACTGTCATTCATACACTCACAAATATATAAATATACACGCTTTCATATATATACACACATGCACACTCATACCCACATATACATGCCTACAGTAACATTTAAATCCATG